ATGGGCTGGAGATGACTGCACACAGATTTGATTTTGTAAAATATGTCGTTTTCGACATTAAAATTAAGTTTTTCGTAAAAATTCGGTCATCCACTTTGTTAGGAGAAAATTAGCATACGCCGGAAGTTCCAGTAGCCTATATAAAGGCCCAAAGGGAGCGTTTTTCTTTTTTTGTCCTTGGAATTGAGACACAATTATGCAAAATAGAGAACATCATAGGAATAGACGGGACCAGGGTTGAAAAGTCGCGAAGCGGCTTTTCAACCCTGGTGTTAAATAAAAAGGTCATAGCAAAGCATTCCGGCGCCGGGGGGTAAAGTAAAGTGTAGCCAAATTTTTCTAGGCGATTTTTTTCTATTCTTCAACGTAAAACCTTTACAAAGTTTTATCAGTATAAAATTCAATATTTCCACTAAAAATAACCGAATTTACGAAAACTTTTACAAACATTAAGAATTTTCAAAAAGGTTGCGTAAATTTTGGATATTTTTTCGCTTAAAATATAGTTGAAGCTTATTAAAACAGTTTTAAAATACTTACGATTACGCTACTAGTCATTTCTGGAGTCCCAGCAAAAGTTGGAGTTGGGTTTAGCCGACAATCCCCCGATGATGGGAAAGCACCTGAATCCAGCTTTTTTGGTTCGCTTTTGTGAATTTTTGTTGTTATGATTTGATCGGTTGTAAAATAAACAGTTCCTAGGCTCCAACTTTTTTTCGTTATTTCTATAGTTTTTCGGGATTTCGAGCGTTTTGTTTTTTACAAATCGATCAATTCCGATACGCTCCACTAACCCCTGAAACGTACGGTAATGCCGGTTTCGCCTAACACCCGTCCACCGAAGTTCTACCGATCTTTGGGCCAGGAACCCCGAGTCCAGGCGGACCTGAAGCCATTTTGTGACCTCTTCCCACAAATTCGGTTTTGTTTGTTGAACGTCTAGGTGGGGCCCATTTTTGGCCGGGCTGCAATCAGCTAGAATCGCAAAGTGGTGGCACCCATCCCATCCGCCCCCTCTTCTTTTGGCTACTTATGCCCCCGGTTAGGTTTGGCCGTACTTTGTCCCCCTCCTCCCCTTTTTGGGCCTTTGGAGTGGCCCTCAGGCCATTTGGGGGGCTTCTTCTTCGTTTGGGGGATCGTCGATTGCCCCCCCTCTTTTCTTCTTTCACGGCGAAAAATGGACAGCTGCCAGGTGGTGGTCTCGAATTACCGTAGTTGTCTTCCACAGGGTTGCTCGCGTGCTCGCCCCCCTTTTTTGCTGGTCCATATTTTAGTATGGTGCCAACTTTCACGTAGTCCTTATTGTCTATTTAATACACATGGAAACTAAACTTTTGGTTCTTGCGCATTTTGGGGGGCACGATCTTCCCTATATGCCTAGAAATCCTTACTATTGTAATAGTACGTATTTTAATACTCTTTTTAATAAAATTTAACTAGATTTCCAGTGGAAAACTATCTAAAAACTTATCAATATTTGAAAAATCTAGAATTTTGATAAAAAGTCGATATTTTTGTATCTTTCACACAATTTCCTAAATTTATATGTTGTCGAATGGTGAAATACAGCTGAGGAACGCTGACTCTGTTTATATTATAAATTCGCTCCCAATGAAAAAGTGGATTTCCCCGGGTAACCCCCGTCCCCCCGATAAGGTGAAAGTACCGGAAACCCATACTTTTTAGGGGAATTTTACTAGGCTAAAACAAACTTTACTCTGGAAGAATTTTTAGCATAAAATATAGTTCTTATTGCCCGTATTTTTTTAATTAATTGAATAGTTTAGACGCTCCAAAGTGCTATCCTTACTTTTTACCTTGTTTTTAAAAAAAAATGCCTTTTCCAAAAGTTGCCAACTGCCCTTTTTCATCTCTGAAATTCGCCAACGAAAAAACAAATGAACTCTCCTCTTCGAAAAGAGGCAATCCAATCCAAAAAATTGCATTTTCGGACACACCCGAGAAGATTATTCGTTGAGAGCACGAGGTGGACGACGATCGTCTACTCGTCTATCCGATCCGTCCTCCCCAATCGAGCTCTTCTTAGAAGTCCTCTTAGAAGTTTCCATGCTCACCTCCGGCTCTTGTTCTCCACTTCCCCTTCCCCACGCCAATCCAATTTGACACCTTCTCCATTTGGTCAGGCCGCTCGGCTCCAAATTTTTTCGCTAGTTATTGGAGATGTACTTATGGGGGTGGGTTGTGAAGTATGTGTTTTAGAAAAGGTCAAAAATTTTAGACTTTAATGCTGATTTATTATGGGAAAATCGTCGATATTCTCCTTCTCGGTTTTCTATAGATTAATGCTGCGTTTATAATCAATAAGAAAATATTTTTTGCTCATTTGACTTGGTGAACTGCAGATTTTGCAACAAAAATTTAATTTTTAAAATTTCGAAAATGAAGCCCTCCGCTTTAACAAAACCATGGATGACAAATATCATGTTTCTAGGCACCGACTTTTATAGAGATAAATCGAAGTGATCTCAAAATATATAATCTCGAAAAAGTTTTTACGACAAACTCAGTTAAAAAGTTTTTTTGTTTTTCAGTTTCCTGTACTCGAAGAGCTTTAAAAAAGCATAATTGCCGTTTAAAGCCAAAGCTAAAATTTCGAAGTCTCTGACCCAAGTTTTAAATTTCGTATTTCGTAAATATAGATTTTTGACGACCGTCTTCTAAACACTATAAATTTTAGCAGTCATGTGGCACAACTCCCCACGAGCGCCTCACTTCGTTGTAAATTCCGTGCAAGGGCCCTCATGCTCAGTGACGACAGAGCCCCGTGTGAGACTCGCCACCGGTCATTTTAACGCATACTTCCGGTTATTGTTCTACTGTTCTAGTTACCTGAGAAACCGATTTTATAAATCCAAATCGGTTCTTGTTCATCAGCGGCGGTGGCTAACTGTCAGTAATAGACATTTAAAAAAGAAAAATGTTGGCCAAAAATGAATTTCGCCAATTTTAACAATTTTTATAACATTTTATATTCAAAAAATGTCGTAAAATTAAAAATAGGTTTTATGTTTATATCGACTGCCTACCTCACAGAAAAATTTAGCCCCCCGCTAATGAACCAGCATCCCCAATTAAATGTTTCGCCCCCGATCGCGCCAAACAGCTTTTTCATAACGACTTTCCGAACACCTCTTATCACCCGTGGAATCAGGCGGAGGCCAATAACGCCCCGGCCCAACGACACCTTCTCGAGACGGCTTCTTCTTTTTATTTTGCACTCAAAGCTATCGTCGCTCTCTCACTCACTCACTCACTCACTCACTCTCTCTCTCTCTCTCTCTCTCTCTCATTCTCCCACCCGGATGATATGAAGCGACGGCCGCCTCAGGTCCTCATGCCGAATAATTGATCATGTTGAATTGTGATGGCTGAGTCACACGCGCCACATTTCCCACACCCAAATCTGGTCCCGGAAGTCGGCAGGCTGAAGCTCGTCTAAATTTCGTACCTGATTTTTCAGCCCATTAAAATTTATTTATGTTTTTGCCTGGATTCGGCAGACGGTCAGTTTTTGATTGGGCGCGTCAAATTCCCTGGGGGAATTTTTAAAAGCATCCATTCAGAGAATTTCGTTTTTCGTGTTTCTACCGAATCTACTCCGTAATTGTTGTCTCCAAGAAAAGAGAAGGAAAACCTAGAACCCAATTCTAAGACGTACTCTTGCAAAATTCGGATTCTTGCAAGTCGTTGTTCCACTCAGTTTTTTGGTACTCGGCTGTTAGCGGGGGGTAACAAGGAGAAAGCAGACTTTTCCCGGTAATTTTGACTTTTTGGTAAAAAATGTACGAAAGCTGGCTGAAAATGGGCATTTTCAATTATACAAAAAAAATTTAAATGTAGAAACTTCCTAGCAATGAAATACTACTAAAACACCTTAAAAATATATTATTAACAGATGGGGACACGAGTAAAAATAAACACTACTTCTCCACTAAGCCCCCGGTAATAGTTCAGTTCAGTACTGCCGTTAATCAGCTTCGTCCATAGAAGAGCGTTTTTTCGTATTGCTGCAGATTCTAATCCCTAATTTTTGCCTCCAGAATAAACAAAGAAAACCTAAAAAAACGCATTCTACGACGTCAACTCTCTACATTCGAATTTTATGCCTCCCCCCATCCCGTAAACACAGAAGTTACCGGCCGTAAAGCCACCTGGGCAACGGCTCGAGTTTGTGCTTACAACGCAAAAGATGTAAAAGAAAAGTGCGCCTCCATTTTTGCCGCCCAAACTCCCACGGACAGGTGGATTCATCAATCTGCGCCCCCTCCGGCCCGCCACCGGCCAATCGGAAATTCCGCGGAAATGCGCCACCCCCCGGAACATTCGGAACATTTTTTTGTCTGCTGACATTTTGATGGGGTTCACCTTCAAAGAGTTTCATTTTGATGGTTATGGATATGCGAGATTTTTCAGCGCACCCGCTAGCCGCAACGCCCACCCCCCTTTCCATTGTGTAACGGATTCAGGCGCGGTGCGTGTCGCGGGATCACAGGGAGCCTTTTTTAGTGACAATCGCGTCTCCGCATGCGACCATCCTATCTTGTGCAGAATTTTTCGCTGATTCCGACTCTGGCTTTAAAATTTACGAAATGAACCTATTACAAAACTTACGAAACTTGAAAAAGGCACAAAATAAACCAATTTCGAATCATTTTTCGTAATTCTAAGTTTTTTAAATAAAAAAGCAATTTTTCGAAATTTCAACGCGCTGAAATGTCATTCGCGAAAGGTTTGAGGCGAGTAATCTGGGCCAAAAAGGCATTAAAATTTCGACGAAACCAAAAATCAGCCGTCTATAAAAATACGCAGAAACACTTCAATAAGGAAACATACAAAAATCTGCTTTAAGAAAAATAAAGTGAGGAAAATTAACTTACATCTTGATCATCCATATTTCCACTTTCATCTTCCACTTGATTCCATTGCCAAACTTATTTTTTTAAACCCTATCTATTAAGCTTCCGCTTTTTCAGGCAAAGATGATGCGCCGCCACGCGGCCATCCACCACACCGTCGACGAGGCGTTCCTGCCCGTCTACGGGGTCCGGAGCTGCCCGTTGGGTGGACAGGTACCGTATCTTCTTCCATTTTCGACCGTCTGCCCTTTAGAACGGAGACTTTGGCTGGTTCGGCCTTCAATCTCTCATCACCCTCCTCAACATCAGTGCCATCATCGCCAACGTGTTCTTCATTTTTGTGTGCGGGGTTGGTGGTTTTTCGAAGAATAATGAATACACCCCCCCACCCGGTAACGAACTAGAGCCGTGATAGTTCCGGCCACATTTTGCAAGTGGATCCTTGCCTTCATTGCCGAAGATCAACTCCATATCCAAAGAGTGGCTGCAGGCCCCTTTTCCGCTAATTAATTCCCAGGCCCGGGGCTTCCAACATGCCGCGTGAACCCCCGAAAGTTAATCAAATTTTGTTGCCATTGTGACCAGGGCATTCGGATGAGGCTAAAAGGGGATTCAGCAATGGGGGGAATTTGTAGTGGGTTTCGTTTCTTGAAACGATGCGGATTGTTCGTTTTTAAAAGCTAAGAAATAATAGCGAGTGACCGGAGAGAGAGAGAGAGAGAGAGAGAGAGAGAGAGAGGAGAGAGAGAGAGAGAGAGAGAGAGAGGAGGGGGGAGGAAGAGAGAGAGAGAGAGAGAGAGAGAGAGAGAGAGGGGGGGAGAGAGAGAGAGAGAGAGAGAGAGCAAGTGTCAGAAGACCCTCCATTTCAGAAAGCTGGTGTGATGCCCCGACAGACACGGTTGATGTTGTGCTCGATCTCGGTGTGCTTCGCCGTCAACGCGTTCGCTGGCCTCCTCTACAACGCCTATTTCTTCTATCTGGGCCACAACCAATTCCCGATGTATCCCGAGAAAAGGTATCCTACTATATATAAAAAAATAGTGTCTGTGTGTGTGTATGTGTGTGCATTTGCATGCAACTTCCGTCAGCGTGTTCCAGCAGTATCTCAATAAGGGGAGTAGTTAGGTGTATGTTTTACACCTCATTCGGTGCGTAATAGCCTTGGGATGACTGCACACTAATGAAATTTTCGAAAATTCGGTGTTTTCGACGTTAAAATTAAGTTTTTGTTAAAAATCGAGAACTCTCTTTGTTAGGAAACAATTTGCATACGCCGGAATTTGCGGTTCCTATATAAGGAAAGAAAGGCAGCGTTTCTCATTTTTTGTCATCGAAAATCGCGAGAATTACGCAAAGTGAAGAAAATCATGCGATCAGACGGGGGCAGGGTTGAAAAGTCGCGAAGCGGCTTTTCAACCCTGGTTTTTATTATTTAGGTTCAGAATTAATAAGTGCCGCAGTTCCGCGCGCATAGGAGCGCCGCGAACCGGTTTTCCTTAATCAGCAAGTCTAGAAAACGTCCGTTTTGGCCAAAACCGTATAAAAAATGACCAAAAGGGGAAGACATAAGGACTATCAAATAACAAAGTAGTAATACCAATCAATTAAAAAAGTGGCTCAAGTCTAGAAACCCCCCCCCAGCCGACTTTTCAACTTTTCTACCTTCCTTATTTTTATTTTCGCTAGTTTTTTTCGACTGGAACTGCAATGTAGTCTTACTAATTAGCCTACGGCGAACATTTTGGTATACTTTAGAGCACGCTAGCACAAAGGGGAGCCGAGATACAAAAGTTGGTGCCGGCTGGGGGGGGGGGGGTTTTCTAGACTCTTACCAAAAAAGTAATGCCTATCACAATATGCTAATCCTGAATTTTCATACTATAACAAAAACCGTTTCCAGCCTTCTCTGCACGGTGGCAAATGTGTTAATGGTACCATGGGACGCTGCTACAGTGTTGTTGATGATTGGTGTAGGAGCCGAACGTTTTGCCGCCACCCGACATCCACTACCTCCGGCCAAGGTCTCCATCTACGTAAAGGTCCGCCCCACGAATTAATGTCAAGAATCCACCAATTTTAGGTGATCTTGTGTTCGCCTGGACGGCTGCCGGCTTCTTGACGCTGGAGTATCTATTAAACTTACAGTAAGTCAGATTTTCAGACTGCATGGGCGTATTTTAGCACGGAAGGCATGTGTGTTTGTGATGGAGCCTCTCTGGCGGACAGCCACGCGATGATGATTCGCATCTCGGTCTGCGCGCTGTTCGAGGCCGCCACCATATCATTGTTCGGTTACGTGATGGTGTACAGCAGAAGTCGGGCCGACGGACTCGGCATCAACACGGCCAAGTATTCGCTCAGCAAACGATTTCAGGTGAGAGTTGGTTTTTTCTACGATAAAAAACCTCCTATTTAGATTCACGAAACCTTCCGCACCACTCAAATGCTGCTACCATCAGTGGTGCTCCACGCGATTCTCTATCTATCATATCTGCTGCTGCTGTTTCCCGTTCGTGATTGGAGGTGGGTAGTTGAAATCTTTAGCTAAAACGATATAAATTTCAGGGCTTCTGCCAACATTACCGTTGCTTCCTACAACTACTCTACAATAATTTTCGCGTTCCCGTCAATGCACGCATTGGCACATCCATTGGTAAGGCATATTAACTTTGAAAAAATGCCTAAAAACTACAGATCTGCATCTTCTCCCATTACTATTTACGGCAACGAGCACTCGACATATTCGATCGTATTTGCTGCTTCACTGGGTAGGTACAGAAACATGCAGAAACGGGTGACGGCCATTTCGCCTAAATCCGTTTCGCCTAAACCCGTTTCGCCTAAATCCCGTTTCGCCTAAAACCCGTTTCGCCTAAATCCCGTTTCGCCTAAATCCCGTTTCGCCTAAATCCCGTTTCGCCTAAATCCCCTTTCGGCTAAAACCCGTTTCGGGTAAACTATAAGGTTCGTCGGCAGCAACGACTTGCTTGGATGTAAGGAAAACATAGTACGGTTTATTCATTCAATGATTAATACAGGGTCTTGTAAATAATTCCGATAAGGGCTCGCGGGTTATTGTCGTCGTAAGCCTAACACATCGCGCGCTGTTCGTCAAAATCCCGGCTGATTTTGCGCTTCGGCATGTAGGCGATCTCGTTCGCTTCGCGAATTTTGACCGCAACCTTCTTGTGCAACGCATGCAGCCGCTCCAGAAAACGCAGAAAAAGAATGAATAAACCGTACTATGTTTTCCTTACATCCAAGCAAGTCGTTTCTGCCGACGAACCTTATAGTTTACCCGAAACGGGATTTAGGCGAAACGGGATTTAGGCGAAACGGGATTTAGGCGAAACGGGATTTAGGCGAAACGGGATTTAGGCGAAACGGGTTTTAGGCGAAACGGGATTTAGGCGAAACGGGTTTTAGGCGAAACGGGTTTAGGCGAAACGGGTTTAGGCGAAACGGATTTAGGCGAAGTGACCGGAATTCTGCAGAAACGTTAAAACTTATTTTATGCGAGTAAACGTAATTTATGAAGTATCATAATTATTATTTTAGTGAAAACCATATTATCAGGCGCTTTAAATGCTTTTTGCAAGTACTTTTGCGCGTAGCCGGGACGGTCTAGCCAATTGTTGACAGAAAATTAACCCTAATATTCGGTTTTTCGGTGCTTTCGCATCATCAGGGGGAATTAGCTTTTTTTTGCTTAGGATCAGATTTGTTTAATACAAAAGAGCTAGTGTTTCTACCAAAAATGGCGGATTTTCGACCAAAATGCCAAAAGTTACTAAATTTTTAGACACTATTTCCACTTGGAATATGGTTACATTTTACTAAAAACTCTTTTAAATTACTTACTATTAAGTTTCTAGGAATTCATAAATCGTAAAAAGGCGAAAAATGTTCCGCCACATATTTCGACGATCAGCACGACAGGCCAATTGACGAATGGGTAGCAACGGAGTTAATTTGGCATATAGCGAACCGGTCTGACCCGTAGCGGGGTCGGACAGGATTAGGATATGCACCCCCGTGCTGCGGGCGGGCCTCGAACCCGCACCCTGTGGACGGGAGGCGAGACGCTAACCAGTCAGCTACAAAGGCATCCAGTCTCCACCCATACCCGCGCCTTCTCAACAAACGTCGGCAAAGAGTCAAATTACTGATTTTAGAATGTTCACCTATCGTTCAAATGATGATTGTCGGCATTTACAGCCGACTCCCGATCCGCCGTCGATTCGGTAACAAAACGACATTAAATTCAAGTAAAAACAGAAAATGCAGCGAGCGTGAGACGCCTGGTCGTGTCGAGTTCCGGATCGCGCCTGAGAAGCACGCGGAGATTTTGGAATCGTTCTGGGATCGGAAATAGGTGCCGCGCAATTTCTTTTTATTCCCAGGTTCTGGTTGATTAGCGGGGGGATTCTTCGTGGGGGACGACTTCCTCTCTTAGTAATTTTGCACTAATAAAACATGAGCTTTTTCATACTGCATTTCGTAATTTCCGATCAATAAAAGTATGGCTAAACACTAGAAAGTTTTAAAATTTAAAAACGCTTAATTTCTGACAAATTTTTGATGTAATATTTTACCACAAAGTACATTTTTCGCGAATTATAACATTTGTATGAAGCCGCGATATCTAAAAAGGGTGTTAAAATATGATTAAAAAGGTTTCATTTCATTACCAAGCGCCTACAGAATAATAGAGAAAAGTTCGGCCCCCCCCGCTAACGAACCAGGCCCTTTGATCACCATGATTGTCGTGTATCTACGATTACAGTGTATGTACATATTCCTCCTCCCCCGAGTATATTGATCTCCGGTGACCCCAGTCGGAATCACGCATTTATATTCTTGTTAGGTGATGATTCCTCACTGTCCCCTTGAATGATATCAACCCCCGTCTTCCGCTGAGCATAAAAATTTACAAAATATCAAAAATGACAAGAATTATCAGGTAAAACACTACAATCACAGGGGTCACCTTTTCACGCAATGTATCACATCAACATTGATATCTACAGATTTCTTCCTGTGAAATTTGTACGTCGCGGGAAGTTCCCACAGCATCTCGGCCAGACAATCCGCCTAAAAATATTTAAGTAACATATCGAGTCTTACCGTTTCAACATCTTCCCATCCGCCGGCCGTTTTTAACACAAATTTGCGTGTGCTGGATTTGTGCAGGGAGAATGCGTGGCCGCCCGGACGGAGTAACGCCAAGCCGCTTTGTAGAAACTTCATGTCTAGCCCTAAATCCGGAAAATCACAGGTCGCCAAAGCCAGAGTACCTGCATTATTTTTCGTCCCAAAAGGCGGATTCATCACGACGATGTCAAAGCGCGATGTTGATGCTAACAAAGATGGGAGTTGAAGCGCGTCCGCTTGAATAAGGTCACATCTAGGATTTAACGCATCAAAACATTTACACCATTTTTGGTTACCTGCTCGAAACTTCAGCACCCGCCAAATTTTCCTGGCATGTCCGTAGGGCCACGGGATCGATGTCAACGCCTAAAATACTATAAAATCAACTAGGGCCTCACACCTAGACAGTAATCGGGATCGCCACTAGCTGCCATGGCCACAGTCAGCATTCCGCATCCACATCCCAGGTCCAATACGGTTTTGCCCTCGAGCCCGCCGACAGTATTTGAGACGCATTCTACCAGGCATTCTGAAAAAAGAAATAAACTTTTTAAAAAACATTGACCAACCTGCCAATTCCGGTGACGTCGCATATTGTTCGAGTTGAATCTGAGGGTTCTCGAAACCTTCCAGTTCTTGTAGTACCCATTTTAAACGCTTTGGTGCCATATAAAAACTAATACTTTGTATAAGTAGAAAACTCAGATGTCGAAATTGTTTCACGGGATCGATGGTTCGACCAAAAGTATTTGTGCCTCTCCTGTTACAAGCAGATTTCCAAAAAAATTTATTCCCAAAGGCTTTGGTGTCAAAGAATCACATTATGCACAGAAACGGGGGGATCACAAAAAGAAAATTATGCAAGGCGGGTCACACAAAAGAATAGTGCACTTCGTACCAGTAATCAATCAGAATAGTGTGCGGCATTGTCACCCTAGCAAGGAGTAAGTGAATTTGAGGAAATTCGAAAATGCCGAGTAGCACTCAAAACAAACGGGATAACAACAAAAACAATGGATTCCCTGGCTCAAAGCTCGTCCTTCACCGGGCCCAGGTAGCTGTTGACCACCTGGATGATATCGTTCTTCATTTGCGATTGGATGGAGATGCCCCAGCCGTCTTGACGTCGTCCATTCTTTGCTCCGCGGTACAGACGAATTGACGGGTAGGCTTGGATCTGGAAAAATATGTTTACGCTACAAATTTTTTTAAAAACTTGAATTTTAATTAGGGTTTCCAAAAATAAAATTCTAGAAACTTACCCCGGCTCCTTGACAAACACCGGGCCATTGATCACAATCGACTTTCACCAACTGAACACGCCCTTCCAACGCCTAAAAATAAAGTTAAAGTAGGTGTCTAATTATTTTCACAACCTTGGCAATCTGATCAAATACCGGAACAAATCGCATACAAGGCCCACACCAAGGCGCATAGAAATCGACTAGATATGGAGTCTTCGCATCCAAAACCTAAAAAAAACAATACAATCTAAAAGTAACTTCCTGCAAACCTCCGTGAAAAATTCGTTGCCCATTGGGACGACTAGCGAAGGAAGGTATCCCATCGTCCATTGGGAAATCGAATCCGCGTTCCGCCACATGTTTTGGGGATAATTTCTGAAAGAGAAGCCGTAAGACAGACGCAGAAGTGAGTTACAGATTTTTCCCGAGCTTGCGCTGCTTCTGCACACTTGAGGCCGGGAAGAGACGAACGGTTGGGTATCCGGTAACCTTCTCGTTGTCGCAAAGGGTCCGATGGGCCTGAAAAGAAAATAAGAAGAAATAAATCCCAGCGAACCTGACAATCTATGGATCCGTATTTGACATTCTCCGAATCATGATCACGCAGCATTCGAGCAGCTCTGTTGAACTCCGGTGCGAGCTATGGAAGGTAATTGGGGTAAACCAAAATTATTAAATACCTGTTGACAAGGGCCGCACCACGGGGCAAAGAAGTCGACAACCCAAGTGATTTCAGCATCCTTGTTCAAAACCTCGGCCCTGAACTTCTCCGGCGTCAGTTCGACGACCGACGGGTTGAGCGAATCCTAAAAAACATACAATCAACTGCGAATGTACCTTACCTCCATAAAATCGATGACTTCTTGCGCAGAACTGTAGCCGACAGACTGGAAGGTCTTCCCGTTGTAGTAAAGCTTCTTCTGCGGATAGCTGGAGACACCGACTTTTTGGCAGAGTTGCACGTGTCTAGTGCAGTCAACGGTTCCAATCGAGAGCTTCTGCGACTCTTCATCCAGCTGTTCGTGCACTTGACGCAGTTCAGACATCAGTTTCATACAGGGCGGGCACCAGGGTGCGAAGTAGTCGATAAGCCACAAATCGCCGCTCTCGACCGCTTCGTCATGCATTTCGGGGGTCAACACCTTCATCGGGGTCTTCAACGACTCGCGGATGAAGAGGGCTTGATCACGCCAGCTTGTTTTCGAGGTCGCTAAAATGGAAATGTGAACGTGTATTTCGATAGGCACAATTTTTTCCGTAAAAGCCAATTATCAGATGAATCTAAAAAGTCTTCCTACATGGCGTTTTTTTGTTATTCTTAAACATATAATTTTAAAAAGTTATCTAAAATAGCCATTTTTCTAGAAATTAAAATTCTGAAATTGTTGTTTAGTAAAATTTTGCGCTTGAAATATAGTTAGAATTAAAACAAGAATCATGAAAAGACTTGTCAAGCATAATGGGTTTATAGGAAACCCCCTCCTCTGATAATGCGAAAGCACCCAATTAGCTCCAACGAACCATAGTTAATCTCATAGCCTCCGTTTGCCTTGAAGAGAATTGTGGTCGGAAGCTGTTTTTGAACATCAAGATGTTCGGCGCATAACTCAGCCCTCGAACAGTCGAAGAAGCCGATTTTCATTCCTGGGAAAGCTGATCGCAGGCGGACCATTTCCTTGTTTTCCTCCACCGTTGACTGGTCCTTCACGAACCTGAAAAACTTTATTCCTTTCGAAAGCGCACTCTTACCAGACAACGGTGTCCTCCGTCGCCCCAATATGGCGATCAAAAAGAGATTTGAGGTCATCCTCGTCAAACTCCGGCAGCCCATCCATATTTTTGATAGCAGTAGAAGCTAATTCTTTCGGATCCAGAGATTCAAGCACCTAAACGATCAAACGATCAAAAATTCATCCTCATCGTACCGTTGCAGATTCGGCGGAAATGGCACCAGCATCAAACCAGAGAACGCCGTCCGTGCGGTCAAATTTCTCGCACAGCTTGTCTTTTGTCGTGCCGTAGTGACAATCGACAGTTCCCACATTCACCAGGCCATATAACATCGACGCCAGTTTGCGGCTGCAAATAAAAGTTTATGAAGTTTTGATCAAATTCCCACCGATTTTCCGGTGTCAGGCATCTGTCAGAGTCGTCGCAAAAATCAATAATCCAAGGTCTGCCGGCGGTCTCGGCTTCATCTCGGGATAACGTCAGATAATTCTCATGAGTGACTGGGATCACCTAAACAAAATAGATTTACTTGCAAAGGTGATTACAAAGTCAGGAAGACGCGTCATGACGAATTCGACAATAAGTTCCAGATCACGCGGGCCTTGGTAGAAAGTGCCCTAAAATATTGCTAACCTAAAAAGTAGAGTTCAGGATACCTCTGGGTACCAAACGAGGCTGGGATATCCGTGAACGTGTTGGCTTTGACAGAGTCCCGGATCTTCCGCGCAGTTGACCGCACCCACGCGTATCACACCATCCATGGCCGCGGCAAATTTGCGCCACTAAACGGCGAGTTTAATTCTACACCAGCGCTGACCCCCCGCTACGCGGGTGTTCAGCGCTGGCCTCCCCCCGCAATTTAAATTTGGAATTTGAATGCAAAATTTGGCTGAATTCCCGGTCGGGCGGACAGACGGACATTAGAAAGTTATATATAGTAGATAAAGAAAAATAATATTACTGTTGGCGCAAGCTGGTGGCAATGGGAGCAGAAGGTGGAGTAGAAATTTATGAACCAAATCTCGCCGGTGCCTATAAAAGAAACGCTAATTAGCCGGATAGAATTCGCACCTTGTACAACCCTGTTGAAATCCGCCCGGTTGAGGGTCACAATCTCGACATCATCATCGTAGATTCCTAGATTGGCCCCTTTTTCTATTGAAATAAAACAACAAACCAAAATTATCATTGTAGAATTGCCAACTCTGGAAGTTCTGGTTCGGGTTGAAGTCATCCGCCAGACCCTTTTCACCATATTGATCAAACTTTTTCCTAAAAACATGCAAAAAGAAGCAGAAAAATCACCTCAGTTCCTCGTCTTTCAACACTTCGTATGCCCTGTTGATTTTCAAGAATTCTGCGTGCGCTTCCGGGTTGTCCTAATTATCATTAATGTAGGGACGGACGCCACAGACCTTGTTCTTGTCCGGATGCTTCTGGATCGCCAATTTCTTGAAAGCTTTTCGAATCGTCCGATCATCGGCATCCTTGGCGACGCCCAATATTTCATAGTAGTCGGCTGAAAAAAAGATTGTAGCCCGATTACGCGATGAATTTGGGGGGGCCTTTGTGCCAAAAACTCACCGCTGCATAGTAGCCCACTGAAAAAGAGGGTGAGTGGCAAGATGGCGACGGCCAGCCGCATCTTCTGAAAATATAGTTTTAGTATAGGAAAGCGGAAGAAGCAAGGAGAGAGTGAAACGATGACGACAGTTTAGGCCGAAAGACGAGAGGATGTGGGAAAGGGGGAGGAGCCAGAACGGGATCTCAGACCAAGAAAGAGCGATTGCCCGCTCATGGGAACTGGCATGGTCAGCGCTTACTCTACAAAGTTCTGATTCTTCACAACGAGCGGCCTAATCAATAGCGATAGACATTTACTTAGGCTGGGCCCCCGGGGGAAGGTACCGACTGGGGGGGTTGAGGAGTTGTGTGGTCAACGGCCCGAGAGTCCTATAGGGCCGACGTGTCACTAGCGCTTCGTCGCGCACTCCCCCACAGAGCCCGACTGTTTGCCTAAATTGACCAATGCAAGTAGAGCAGCACAAAAGCACGGCTGTCGCTTGGGTTTCGTTGCTTATTGTGAAGCCCGGCAGTTATGCTAGGAGACAATCTAGACAATGACGACGAACTAAAAAAAAGAAGAAAAAACGTGATCCAAAAATAGCGATTTCGACCATCTCATTGGTTCCATAGCGAAACTGGGGTACTCGAACAAAAATTTCGTCAGAGGAAAATGGAAGAGAGCCAGTGGAAAAGTCAATCGTCAATTCACAACGATATCTGCATCCCAGCAGCGCATAAGCGCTCACGAATATGATTCAACCTATAAATGTTCTGAACAAAAAAAATCCAAAGATTTGTATTTTTCATCCGGCGGGATGCCTCGAGATGATCGTGACGCGGCGCCGCCGGTTTTTCGGCCTGGGAAGATACTCGGCAAGCGCTGGAAGGTCGTCAAGAAGATTGGCGAGGGCGGTTGTGGAGCCGTCTACAGGGTAATTTTTTAGCAGCAGAAACTCAAACCAATCTCGGTGTGTTAGCATCCTGCAACAGCCGAAAATCTTGTTTGTAGGTGATGGATACACAGACCAAGATCGAGGCGGCCCTGAAAGTCGAATCGAACAACGTACCTGGCGGCAGTGTGCTGAAGATTGAAGTGATGGTGCTGAAGCGACTGGAAGGCAAAGCACACGTCTGCCAGCTGTTGCACTCGGGCAAACGGGAGACCTACTCATACATGGTGATGACGCTGCTCGGAGAATCTTTGCAAAATATCATCCGGTATGTCTCTAAGCTTTTTCATCTTCCTTCAGCAAATGCCCCAATCGTCAGTTGACCGTCTCCAGCCAGGTGCGCACTGGGATCAACATCTTGTACGGGTTGAAGCAGTTGCATGATGTAAGCCTGAAAAAATGGGGTGATCCGCTAGGATTCTAACTGAAGTCTCAGCAAAAATGGATATTTAGATCGGCTTCGTCCATCGTGATCTGAAACCGGCGAACCTTGCCATCGGCCCGCCGAACACTTGGGTACGTGCTATTACACCTGGCTAAACAATACTTCTAACATTTAGCCAGCCCATTTCGTGCACGTGCTCGATTTCGGGCTTTCCCGTGAATATGCTCAGATGGTTGAGCCAGGGAAATACGGATTACGGCGCCCGCGAAGCAAGTGTCTCTTCAGGTGGCTGAGGACAGTCGACGAAACCCTGTTTTAGAGGGACGACGCGGTACTGTTCTTTGAACACGCACGACAAGGGCGAGCAGTCTAGGGTCGATGACCTTTGGTCCCTGCTTTACCTAATGGCCGAAATGAGGGGCCCTTTGCCATGGCAGAATTGCAGGTTTGTCCTTGAATTCTGCCATAAGACATCATTTAGTGACAAGAAAGAAGTGGCCGAGGTGAAACGGTCGACCGCCGACAAAATGCTCTTATACAACTGTCCCGTGCAACTCCTCGAGTATGCCGAGCACCTTCGGTAACCGAGAACGATCCTGGAACAACTCATTATAACTTAGCGAGCTCAACTACTACACGCGCCCAAACTACCGAAAGCTGTACGAAACGCTGGCTGACGTGATGAATGATGGGGGCTTCAAGGTATTACACTCCAACTAACCCATATTCTTCTAGTACACCGACCAGTACGACTGGGAAAGGGTGGCCGTGCGTCCGAGTCGCAGCTTTGATGCTTTTCGAGGATCTAGCGAGGATTTGCAGACCGCCCACACCGCACCCTCTCACGAGAAAGTAAACTGAAAATACCTAAATTTCGAAGAAATAACGATTCTAGATCGGCAGCCGCGAGAATGTTGCGGCGGAAGGCAAGAGCACGATGGTCGAGCCAGCCGACAAGCCTTCCGAGTTCAGCCCCGGCCCGAATGAGCCCCTGCCGCTTGTAAGTTCTGAAAATAATATAATCGAAAAGTCATCTAGGCCAAGTACGGCGATCCCGACAACCCGTTCCCCGTCGAAGATTTTGAGACGAACCCGCTACAACTTTAAACTGTTCCCCAAATTCGTTGGAGCCGTGGATGACAAAATCGAGAACATAAGATGAAACTAACTTAACTCGTCTCATTGGACCATGTTTTTCTCGCCACTTTTTCAAACGATTTTAATAAATGGATTTTGATGTTTCTGTCCGCTTTCCGCACTTGCATGCATTCGATATCATCGTGGCATCGCGTGTTCAATGTTGGGTGTTGTTGGGGATGTATTGCTGGGTGGAAGCTGGCTTGTCTTCAGGCGGTGAACCGAAGGCGTCTACCTGCTGATCAGAAAGGCCTGAAAACAAATGCTGAACCAAACCGTATCGAAGGATCTTTACGCCAACATGACCTTGAACGTATAAAGGCACTTTTTTTCGCCCTTCTACAAACGTGGAATTAGCGCAATAAACGCAACAAAATTGATGGCGAGCGAAGAAGCTTGCCGAGCTGGATGTGCATCCACCTTGGAAATCGTAGCTTTACACCGTAGTCCAGCTGCGGCGAGAGATTCTAGAAAGTGACCTGCCGTCATTGTTGTCCTGTGGAAACATACGGTAACCAAGCCTAGCAGCAGAATTCTGCCAGTTTTCGATTTTTACGCGGTCGCTCTCGGATTATCTAAGTCTAGTCTTCATCGACCAACTTCTTTTTTCGTTGATGCATGTGTTTTTCTTTGCCCCCCTCCCAAACCACCATTTTTTTGTCTAGATTATTGACGATGCTTAAATAACACTAAAAGAGCGGTATGCTATTTTCGTATAGCGTCCGATCAAGATTGTGATCGTCTGAAAGGTCGGCTCCTGTAAATCTAATGCAATTTTTGAGGTTCCGAAAGCTTTGGCCAGGTAGCAAACGTTATCATGATTCCTCATTCGTCTTGATGCCGGACATACTTTCTTTTTACATCAGATCTTTAGAGCATGTTCGACTTCGTAGCGCTCGGACGCCGTCTCCAAGAAATCACCAACAACTCCAAAGAGACGCCGCCGTTCACGAAAGCACCTCCAATCCCGTCCGCAAAGGTGTTCTTGGCAGCTGCTGATTCAATAATTGGTACTTATCAAGTTGGGGGGGGCCACTTTGGGTACCTATTATGAGACATTTTTTATCGCTTTCTCGAGTCTTTCTGGTAGTTTTTACGCTGAATGCGATTAGAGTCGCAACAGCATGTCAAACCGTTGGGTTTATCCGAAAAAACAGCGTAAAAAATTATTAATAAAAAGTGGACTTATGCACAATTTGGGCATGCCGCATCGTCAGGCAAGGCGGGCCGTCGCTTCGGATGGGCTGCCGCTCCACTCTTTTCAAATCGGGGGCCTGTTTGTCGCGCTCTGGGCGCCCCGATTTCGAAAGCCACTCGCCCATCCGAAGCGACTAGGCCCCGGGTGGCACGAAGCCTTATTTTTAGGCTCAAACTGGGTAGCTGAAACTCTAACTCTTAACAAACGTTTAGATAATGATGTTTTACTACTCTGATTTTGTTATATTCGGAACCAGCACAAAAAACTAGCCTAGAAAGACTCAAAAAGTCGAAAACCAAAGTGGCCCCCCCAACTTGATAAGTACCCAATAATTCGTTTAGACGATCATCTACCGACCCGTGAGCGGTGTCACACTTCCGCCGCCCAACGAAGGGGAAGAAGATTTCCACATGGACCACCTCAACTATGTGTTCAATCACCAGGTGCGTCAGTCTCGCTTTTTTTGTAATCTCTTTCAGGTCAATACTACCCACTTCGCCCTTCCAATCACTGATCGTAAGCGGAGCTTGATCATCGACTACGCCTTCTCCGTGTTTCCAAGTCGCCGAAGGCTACTCGGTCTTTCTTCTTGGCCGTGCATATCATCGATAATACCATTCAAGTAAATTACTTTTTTATACTAATTTTTGTTTTTATTCCATAAAAACACTCTTGATACTGCTGTGATCAAGATATTGCCACGATGGTTATTGCCGCCGTTGACATTGGATCCAAGGTTTTTAAAACCCTTCGCACATAAATTAGATTTTTAGTGAATACCTGCGCGGCGTGGCCCTTCATTTCGTCGATGGGTACGACACCAACAAGATCCGCATGTGGAAAGGGAGCACTTGCGCCTGTTCAGAGTTCAACATCAGCCACACCCATTGCCTGCACTTCCTGCATATTTTCCAGGTGAATCTCCCCCTCCCCAGGTTTGTTTTTTTGTTAGTTCATGACCCACGATCAGTGGCGAAAAGAATCTCCAGGCGCCCGGACCTTGATGGCTGGGATCTTGGCTATGGCGCATACGACTGCCCAGCGGCAACCATCTCTCCTCGCGGCCGCTGTCGCCCGTGTGGCAT